GGGGGGGGGGGGGGGGGGGGGGCGTAGGTGGTGAATGCAATTGACAGTGAAAGGGGAGCGCTGGCGGAGGTTGGACCACTGAAGCGGCGACCGCAAATGCCTGAATAATTACTCACTTTGTTCAATTTACAGTTTCATGTTACTGAAATGGTTGAGATGGTGGCTAACACACACACTCACCCATGAATCGGGCTGAATTGCATGGAATAGAGAGCGCGCTTGGAGCGCAGCGCGCAGAGAGACGAAGCGAAAATGTAATTATGCTTCAAGTGTTTGAGGTCATTTTAATGAATACACAATTGTGATGGACAAGTAGTAAAAGTGCAAATGTATGCAAAATAATGAGATGATTTTAAATGTTGATATGTGGTGATGCCCAAAGTTGGTTAGCACGGCTATGCTGTTGCGGTACTGACAGTAAGCAGTGGCGGCATTACTGCTATGCTGAGGTTGCCTTTGTAGCATCCTGTGGCCAACCGAAGATGGTCAAATTTAATACAGCAGTGCAATTTTATTAACGTATATATATGTATGTATGTGCAAGTACGAATGCATGTATTAAATGTGCAAATTGTCTGTTAATTATTGGATCCTTTAGTTTTGTGTTTACTTTTCGGCATGAGCTGCATATCAATGGTACTCGTGCAATTAAAATAATCATGAAAAGTTACCAAACGATTCATCAGCAGATGATTTGCATGAAATGAAAAATTTAATTTCGTTTATATATGTATGTGCATTTTATTTTTTGGTTGGTTTGCCTTAAATTGGCGAAAAGCGTCGCCATTCTAAATCATCCTACAGGATTGCAGGGACTATGTATTGGTCATCGAATGAAAATTTATCGATTTCTTGTTATCTGTAGGAAGAGAAAACTCAAGACTTCTAGTATGGCTCCTAACAGTATACATAAGTCTCGCTGGCGGCGCAAGCGTCTCAGAAATTTTTAGTGGAAAACAACAAGTTTGGGAGTGAGGTTATTATGAGGAAACAGTGAAACACATAATTTGCGAATGTCCAGCTCTAAGAAGGCTTGGGAATAGGAAGCCGTCGAATTCCCCACAGACCTCATTTGACTGTGTAGAATGCCGTTGAACAGAAATTAGGAATAAACTCTCGGAATCATTCTTGGTCAAACGAGTTTTAAGTCCCATACTACCTCTGGTAGACAGCAATATAGCTTGACAGACAGGCCTTCGCCGGCTCCGAAATGCGAAAGTTGAATAATGAAAGGGCTTAAAGTTATACTTTTTGTCAATCCGATTTGGTGATAGGGCATAAGTTTTTTATCTTTTAAGAGAAATATCTTTCAAGAGTTTGGAGCTAGGATATGTTAGACCGGCCAAACACTACCCATAGTGTAACGCGTGTGGCTAAAAGTTGTACAAATGCAAGTGGTAAGTTAGTAATATGTATTTTGTTGAGGACCGCTCATTAATACTCTAATCAAATGCGGACTGAAAGGTGTTTTGCAATTTGCTTCTAAAGTACTTGTTTTGCGCAGCTGCAGCTATCTTCGCAAATATAATTAAGGTCCACATAGTTATCAGATAACTTTGCTAGTCCCTAGTATCAAGAGTAATATCGAAAAACTTATAAATTTTCTGGGCACTGTTTGCCCCTTTTGCCACCTTTTGTGTTCTCTCTCGAAATTTGGATGAAGATTCGGTAAAAAAAATTGTGTGAGCTTTGTGTCCTGTTCCAGGTTGTGCTCAGGTTTTATTGCCAGTAGTGACAGTGCTATTGGTGAACCTGCCGAAAGACTGTCTTCCTTGGCGAGTCCGTCTACCACCTCGTTGCCAATAACGTCAATGTGCCCGGAACTCAAAATTGGTTTACCTTCCTATCAGTACATAATTCAGCCATGGCGTCCTAACTCTGGCTGTCAGTATAGAGATTCACCCTTTAACGAATCCGGCTAGGACGCAATAACTCCGCTGCCCAATTTATGGTTAAGACATCTGTCCAGCAAATACAACAATACTGCGGCTGTTTATAAAATTTACTTAGTTCAAATTATGCGTAGTAAACTGCAGCGCCCAAACCCTTGTCCATTTTGCACCCATCTTCAGGCACATGCACCGAGCCATTCATCTAAATGGCCTCCCGCCAGCATTCGACATTCGTTCCAAAAGCTCCGGAATCGCGCAGTCTGTTCGTCCAGAAATTTCACGTGAAAGTAAGACTTCTAGCTATTTCGAACGTGATATGCATTGTCGTTAGATGCGGCGGCGGACGATATAACAGTGTTTACAATGGTACCGTCGGTGTAGTTCTGAGTAAGGCTAATCCGAGTTACTCTGCAGACGACAAATTTTCAAAGTTTGGAGAAAAAAATTTTGTTCGCTATACTCAGATATTTGAATCATGAAAACTTTTTTTTTCTATAGAACATGAATTGATCTAGTAAATCAGAGTATGACCAACGGTTATAAAATTTTAAATATGCGCACTCTGGGGTTTTTTTTTGTGTTCCACAGTGTAACGCAAACTCTAGGGTACCTCTATCCCTGTGACAACTTTGTGTCGGGCGGTGTCTACCGATCTTCCGTATTGTAAGCATTCTGTGCTTTGGGGGACATCAGCAGAGTCTTCAGAAGAAACGAAGTAAGATTGGAAGTACGTATTAGCAATCGGCAAGATCGGGTTCGATCCTAGTTCCAGCAGCATCCAATAGCAAACCTCCGAGTGTGGTGTACTTCTGTCACGAAAAAACTACGTTTGTGGAAAAGCTCGAACAAATGCATAACAAAAATGTGAGTTCGAAATATTTATTTGCTTTATTTTCGAGGGTTAAATCGAAGTTTTTATATCTTTAGTAAATTTACTTCTTCAAATAACAGCTATACGAATACAAAACACATGAATATAAATATAAATTTAAAGAAGATTTTATAGAAGAATTATCTATTTATTATACTTTGCAATCCACAAAAAAAGTGGTTTATCAGCAACCAGTGAAGTAGATTTATGTGAACATTAATTGTGCTATCGTTTCTTCTTCTTTCGTTTTTGAATGCAATTAATACTCGATAAACTTGAATCAAACAATTATTTTATAAAATATCGCTCTTCATTTTTTGTATAAATGACCAATATTAATGTCAATTCACTTTCAATAAATAACTCAAAAACTTTCCACGGCAGTTATCGCCGTTTGCCACATCCTACACTAATACATATACATCTACATACATATTTGCACGTTTAAGCGGTGGGCATAAAAGTGGTCGTAAAAAAATCCAAAAATGTTGTTGTATTTCCTTCGGCGGTGGTCGGCACCAGGCTATCGCTTTCATCATCGTAGTTGTGTATGGCGTCCTTGGCTTGTTGCGCCGCCAAATTGAATTGTATGAGAATGATGAGGTAACTGGTAATGCCGCCACTCACCTGCAAATACGCACAAGCACGCAAGCACGCGCACGCACACGCACACACAAAACAACAACGAGATCAATGCATATTGAATTTAATAATTGTACACAGAGAATTTTGCTGAGCTTCCACACTTACACCATAGAGCGTCTCCATGTCCAGCGTGAAGAAACCGCAAGCCGAGAAGTCAACTGAGTGATTCAGTAATTTGAGCGATAAGTGGTTGACCTATTTTGCATAAGCGGATGCAACCGAAAAGGTGAATGCAAACACAAAATAGAAGAAGAAGAAGAAAAATACAAAACAGCAGCAATTCAGCATTCAGCAAATGCATATAAATAATGAGGGGGGGTGCACGGAAGATGTGGTGGTGCGGTAAGGGAGCGGCACAGTAAAGTGGCCAACCACTCCATAAAAAGTGGGCACTTACGATTTCATAGAGCAAATTATTATCGGCCACAACGCCGCACTTGTGCAGACAAATGCCAGTACGTTTCGATTCGAGTGACGTCTTCCAGCTGAGGTAAATCAAATAGATGCACTTTCCGGCGGTGTAACTCAAGTAAATTGTCGTAATGATGGCATTCTTAGCCGAGCGAAATAGTGATGGAATGACCTGGTGTTTGTATGGGTTTGTATGCAAATAAATAAAATGTAGAAAATAGTTGAGTCAGTGGTGGGCGGCAATGGGCGTCAGCCAGTTATTTACCTGATTCTGCGTGGCGCAATAGAGGAAATACAATTGTGCCGTGAAGATGAGAAATCCGTAGGCCATTAGCACCAATATCGGATAGCTCCAGAGCTCGTTCAGTACTTTGCCAATTTCGCAAATCTCGTCGTGCAGCTGACACAGATTGTTCAATTTCTCCTCCACCTTTTGAATGTCGCCGTTCAATTCGCTTTCGTAGACCATATTGAATGGCGGCGGTTGGCTGCTTTGCTTTGGTTGCTTTTTGGGTGTTTCGAAGCCCTCGCCGAATGAGTTTAAGGAGTGAGCGACTGAGAGGAGTGAAGAGAAGAAGCGAATTAATGTTTTAGTAACTAAGTATGTGATTTTTACAAAAAAAAATTTCAGCTTTATTTTACTGAAAACATTTATGTATATAAAATCTTTAAGGATTTGTAAAGTGTTTTCTGCCTGGAAATTATTTTGCGCTCATAGGAAATACTGGGCCTTAAGCACAAAATATGAGGTTAAGCTACAACCCAACTTTCGGTGAACGCTTTCAGGCTGGAGTTCAATTTATTTATACACCAGTGGAGTCCAAACTTAGGCGTATTCTCATGCAAAGATCACAAACCTAACCTACTTACTTGGTGATATTCTATTCTTTCCGTAGTTAAACGACTTCACCGGTTCCATATGTGTTAGCTCCTTATACAAGTATTCCAGTGATGGATCGAAAGGTACATTCGTAAAAGAAGGCTTTTTTAAAGCCGAACCATCAGCACCATTTTCCATCCAACGCTGAAGTCTCTCGTGTGACTCCACCATCTCTTCCAGAGCAGAGTTGATCATAAAAAAACGTTGGCGCAAGGCGCTCAAAGTCATTGCGAACCAAATTTTATCCAACGAATTGTAAAAAGTGGGAAAGCAAGAGAATATCCATAGTAGCGATATCCATTCACTGTGATCAACCAGCATGATGTAGGTGGAGAGTAAAATGGTCAATTCACAGACGACAGTGAGCGCGATCATTATGAAAATGCGCTTAGATGTCGCTGAGATATCCACAAAGATATTCTCCCTGAGCAAGTTCTCATCGACAGCGCGAATGCGTTCGTACAGTTCGCCAATTTTCGATTGATTGCGTAGCGCTGAGCACTGATCGGTGAGCATCATGCCGAGACCGATGTAGGTGAGAAAGATGCCAATAACGAAAGTCAATGTACCTAAAGCGGATACGTGAATCCGTTATAAAACAAGCACAATTTGATGCACTTCAGTTACTCACTCTGCGTTGCTTTCAAATCGCGATCCTCCTCAGAAAAGGAATATATTAGCAGATTGTAGAAGATGACAACCACAATCATGGTGACAACCACAAGAAAAGTGCCAATTCTACTACTTTGCAGTGTGTGCGTGCGTCGGAATGCCTGCAGGTCGTGCGGATAGAGACCAAGTATTTTGCAAAACAAAAATAAATTGCCAAAATGCACCAGTATCGGTTGCACCGTCTGTTGCGCCATTTTCTTCATTTTCCGCTAGGCAGATATTTTTTTATTTTTGCTAATGCTGAGCAGCACTTCTGCACGGCCAGACTAGCGACACTAAACTGTGGTCCCTGTGAAGCCAGGACGGTAAATGCGTGTAGCGTGGGGTGCACAGTAACAGCGGACGGCGAATCCCGATAGTTGCCGCATGGGAGGAGGCACTTAACATTATTAAATGCATTTAATATGCGCATGGGAGATTAAGGATAGCGGGTAGCGGATAGTCACGCGTGCAAACAGCCACTCGGCTAGACAGTGGAGCGGCTTAAATGTTGGGGAAATAGCACCGACAGGTACCATGGATCTATAAATAATTGCGATTATCAACGGAAATAATGACGAATGGCTATGGAAATGTATAGAGTGGTGAATTGTGGAGGAAGCAGTTTTTTTAAACAATGTCTACTAATACTCGTACAAAAACATGAAACAACAATGCTGCCAGTATAAATGGTCGTAATATTCATTAACAAATTGAAATATGCGCGATAACAGTAATGGAATGAAATGAAATTAAATGGGGTGACAACATACGGAAGAGAATTTGATCATAACAAGCAGTTGGTGTTGGGTTGTGACCTTAATTTTAATACCTATTTGTTATGTAGTTGGAGAGTTACCTTTAGACTTTGTTAGCCTAAAAAACTCCCTTGACAGTATCAGATACTCGTAGTGGATTTTACAGTTATGCACAGTGTTGCCACTGCCTTAGCCTTTAAAGTATCCATAAAGAAATCGGAAACTGTATGCAAATATAACCACCGAAAAGAGCGGACATTTTTACACAGTACCTCTATGGAAGAGTAACTAGGTTCCTTAACCAACTTATTAACCAGTGTTGCAATTTTGGTACTTTTGTAGCTAGATTTAGCTCTTTATTTTACTATTTAGCTCCGAAAATTAGGTTTTAGCTATAGCTCTTTTTTAGCTCTTTTCAAATTTATCTATCACTTTTTTAGCTCCAAAGAGTTTTAGTTGTATTTGGTATATACATACATATTAGAGCTCTCGATTTTGTTCGCACATTTTCAAACAGCCCGGGTATATGAGCAGCGAGTACTCGCACACTTGTTCAATGCTCATTACTCGAAAATTTTCGAGCATGAGCGCGAGCAATTCGAGTTTTTTCGAGTAATTTGAGCAATTTTTTTTATTATATTGACATATTTGGTAGCAACTTTTTAAATATTTCAAATTATTGATATATAATGCAAAGATTGTTACATTGGTATTTAATAATATAATTTATTTAACATGAATTAGAAAGCAGCTGCTGACAAATACAATTTACAAATTTTCTTTTGTTTATGAAGTTGTTCAAAAACTCGAAAATTTTGAACAAACATTTGAGCAGTTGAGCATTGAACGAGTTTCGAGCGAGTATCGAGGTACTCGCATTGCTCGATACCCGGGTATCTAGAGCTCTAATACATATAAGCCAAACTAAAGCGCTGATAAAATGGAAAATTTCGAGATGCAGTGTATCCACCATAAACTCTTGGATCTAGGTTAAAGAATTCAAAAATTAATGAGAAGAAAGTCCTTTTTCTGATAGCGCAGATTTTGTTTTACCTTACTAATTTTACCTCTAAAGAGAGCTAGAAGTAAAACTTTTCAGAAAAATTTTGCGAAAAATTATTCAATTCAAATACATATCTGAAATTACAGACTTTGTAAAGTATTTTTAGTTCACTTTATAAGTGCCATAGCAACGAATTCGAAATGAACATATGCACCTTATTTTTTGGTTTTAAAAGCTTTTTTAAGCACTTAAACTTATAAAATTCGTTGTTTTAAAAAATTCGTGTTCATAAATGTAAAAACAACCTCACGTCAATAAATGCTAAACCTTAAAAAAATATGTAACTCTTCATTTTAGCTACTATTAGTATTATTTAGCTCTCTTTAGCTATTTTTTGGACCGTTTTAGCTCCAAACGAAATTTTTCCCTGGCAACACTGTTATTAACATGTTGTCAGTATTTTTCCATTCTTAGGCACGGATTTGGTAAACAAAGGCCCGTAGTTATAGTCAAAATTATGTCGAATCTGAAGTTAATTGCAGCTCTTTGACATACTTTTCAAAGGGATTCCTTTTGACTATAACTACGGGCCTTTGCTTCCCAAACCCGTGTCTAGGGATGAGAAAATATTGACTACAACTACGGGCCAAATATTCCGCATGTTCGATGTTTATCACTAGGATTAGGTTACCACAAATAATACATGAAAAAATGTTTCCAAGTCTATCAAAATAATACAAATTTAAACTAAGTTTGACCTGTTACATTTAGATCAGCAAATTGTTATTTCCTGCTATTATGGTTACAATGTTTTTTAATCAAACTGGTGGATTGGGAGCTTTCTATGAAATTAAAAAATTTCTCAAAAACTTGTATTTGTCTGTAAATTCCGTCTTCAAGAAAAATTTCTTATTTCCGGCTTGTGTGAATTCTCGCTTAACGACATATAACTGAAAATTTAGAAGTTATAAGTTATTTTTAGTACAGTCAAGTTGTTGTTGAAAATTAGTCATCGGCGTAGCTGTCAATTTCCTTTGATTGCTAAGAGAAGGGTTGCTCGAGGTGTAAAAGTTGATTTTTTCGCATTACAGTTAACTAATACAGGTCAGAAAACTTTTTAAAATTTGCAACCTACTTGGTCTTAGTAAATGTACGTTTATGTCGTAGTGTAGGAGTGGAAAATTGGGAAGTACTACAACTAACACAATATGCATTAATTATATAAAAATTTAGCTGGAATTTCCAATGAAATTCTATCAAAGTAGTTTTAATTTTAGTTTGCCGATTTCGGGTGAACAGTGGGATATTGTCGTAAGGTTAAAAAATAATACTGAATTGAAATCTCAATAAAAAATTAAAACCGAGGAGATTATCCTAGCCAAGCAGCACCTGGAAACATCGGCGTAGCCAGAATGAAATCTAGGGGGGGGCTCGACCCTATTAAGCTGGCATTTCAGGGAACTATTTTATATATATATAAGGAAAATTTTAAAGTTAGGGGGGAGAGGGGGGCTCGAGCACCCCCCTGCCCCTACCTGGCTACGCCCATGCCTGGAAAGCAGATAAAGGAATCGTGCTGGCAACGGATAAGGTGATCGACCAGTCGGTGGTAAATTATGTAGTGCCAGTGTAATCGGCAGCTTGTTCCCGAGTATCACACCACTACGAAAACCTGATGCTGTCATACAAAGAGCACAATGCTGATGACGCACTACTTTTGACGAGAGCGCCTTGGGGACACCGGATACCACTGATACTGAACAGAAACTTAATCTAAATTCATAATTACAGGGTCTTCGCTCAATAAAATGAGAGGCGATGAAGAAATCGGCTCGTTTGTATGCGTTGGAATGCATTCATGGAATGGTTCAAAAAGAAATTAACAGCCGATTTCTTCAGCTGATTGGAATATAGGTATTTAGTAGAAGGGTTTGATAAACAAACTTGACAAGTAACATCAGGACATAGCGCCAGATTGCACAGAATCAAGACTTCTTGATCAGCGTAGGAAAAGGAAAGTTATGCTACATACATAGATAAAGAGCATTGCCGTCATACATGGGCAAATGAAAATTAATTTGTAAATGGACATTCAATTGAGTTCTGAGAAACTTTCTCCGTTTCTGAATTTACTTACTATTAGCATGTAATTAAGGTGTAGTAAATACTTATATGCAATCCACATAGCAGTTTGTACATATGTATGTATATATNCAATTGGCCCCCCCCCCCCCCCCACTCTATGTATAAAATATGCATCCCACTTATATTCATCACTCATCACATTAAAACTCTTTGCTGCTGTGCTTGAAACTTTGTTCATTAACAGTTGAGTGGCTGCTGCCTCGAGCCTCGAAGGCCCCCTCAAGTTGTTGCGTTTATAATTTCCGCTTTGTCAATGCAGCAATTCAATTCAATTTATTTCAATGCAAGGCAATGCAATCGACGAATTCAATGCATTCGACGAACTTCTACGAGTGCCGCATTATTAATGCTGCAACTCACTTTTTTTTCAACCACTGCTGGATAAGTTTTATTCAATACTGATTGCGTGCAGTGCAACAACGTCCCAGTGTCGTCGCGTGGGAGAATGGAAGAGTGGCCCAGGAGAAGTTCGTGGACTACCCTTGAAAATGTTGGCTATTATTTAAGTGGCAAAAAAATATATTCTGCGTTTATTGGGTGTACGGGTGGGTGCCTATTTGCATTGGGTTAATTAATAATTTCTTTATATGCACATACATATAAACGAGTTTTATGGAACATCTTAGCATCTCAAGAATACTTGACATTAACGTTCAAGTACACCTTTTGCATATAATTAATCAGTGCCAGATTTTTATTAAAATAAATTAAAATTTTTTCTTATTTCTTTACAGAACTCCAACGAGGTGGAGCAGTACAACTTAACTGGATCAGAGTGGTAATGCAGAGAGTGAGCTGTGTGCTAAAGTGAATAGATCGCTGAAAGCAGGCGTGTAGCATACCTACTCGTATACTCAGACACACACACACACCAACATAAAACACCAAAATGCATGGGAGTTTTCCATTCCATTAAAAAAGTGAAAGAGTTTTGAAAAAACGCGCAGCAATTTAAAAAAGAATTATAGAAATTAGCTAGAAAATCGTAGCATCAGAATTTGCAAAAGTAAATGAGTGACTGACTGACTGTCTCCATTACTGCCGTCAAATTTCAACTCCAAGTTATTCGTGTGTAAAATTCAAGTAGCCGCTTCAGGATATCTCTGAGGACAGACGGGATACGAGACGGTAGTTTGTGTAGCCGCGGTGCTGCTGCTGCTGCTGCTAGTCTATTGACAGAGTGGATGGAGTGAGAGTGCGTGGCTGCAGGATTCTCTAATACATCGCTACAGCTGAGAGAGTACGTGACACTCAGTGCGGCTGTATCTGTTGACCGTGACGGCTGGAAGGCGGAGGGATACTTTTATTTTTAGTTTGATTGCAA